TAAGGAAGGAAATGCACTTTTAGCTAACTCCTGCTTAACTGGAGGACAAGGAGTCAAAACCAAACTCGATGTATCTTGTGTCGTTTGAATTGAAGTGCCGGATCAGTGAGAGTGTGAACGCTGAGTCACTTCCTGGAGAGTGGGCTCGGTGCAGGGTTAATACAACCCACACCGAGAAGCCCCTGGGTCATCACAGCCTGTTGACATCAAATCAGTGTTACTGTGTTTACATCCTCCAGGAATCGTGAGACTGGTGCACAAGGTTTAGCAATTATCAGAGGGAACCAAAAAGTCGTCCTTGCTGAGTGGCTGGTTTAAAATATTTATTTATTAAATGCAACCAATGTTTGAGCCCCGATTGCTTATTAAATATTGAGCCCAGGATTCTAAAGGTGACAGGCTAACTGAATTATAAGTAACATATAAGTAATATGGGAGACTTAGCTATGTTGCTAAGTTGACCAAAAGCTCTCTGATCCAAATGTCTGTTAGTAATACGTTATCAGAGAAGGGGAGTGGAAAAAAGATAGAGCCTATAGGAATATAAATTGATATTCTGTCCCAAGAGCTGGCACATGACTGATGAATGGTGGCTGTGGTCAAAGATGAGACGAAAACAAACAAGCAATTACATTACAAAAATATATTAAACTTACAAAAACTCTTCTAGACCTGACTTTATGAAACAGAAGCAGCACCAGTTTTTTTTAGATGGTCCTTTTGTGGTAAAAATAATTTGAGGTTATTCTATTCTTAGACTTTTGGAAGGAATCTGTTGACACATCTGGTTCTAACAAATTACAAACACCCCCAAATTTTTGTTAGGAAAGCATGCTGCCAACATTGAAATGTGTGGCTCATTACTATTGGAAATGCTCCCATGATAATTTAATAATAATCATAGCAATACTTTTAACTTCTGGCTCTTTTATAAATCCTATTTACCATATCCTGTGGGCTAAGTTTGCACTGGAGCCATCAAATTTGTCTTAATAATAATGAGGATGGTGACATCTAGAATTCATGAAACCCTATCCGCTGCTGAGGGTTGGGGCCGGGGCTTTGTGTGTATTCTCTGATAAAAATCATCATTGTTTCCATTTTACCCATGAGGAAATAGGCCCTGAGAAGTGACTTGCTCAATCAAAGCCACTATACATGGGCTTCAGGTTTCAGTTCCAGATTCGTCTATTTTGCATGTCTTTACTCTTAACCACTATGCTATCTTGCCTCCCTATAAAAACTCATCAGCAAACTAAGACGATACAGTCTAGTTTAAGCTGTAATGGAAAGTGTAGACACGTCCAGTTAGGTTATATTCAAATATTTCTCTAGCACTTGGTACCACTTAGTTGTATTGTATTGCATTGTATTGTAGACAAAATAAAATAAAGTATACATTATGATATAGGACAAAATCTTTACCACTTCGAAGCAAGCAAAGATTCCTTAAGATACAAAAAGCTCAAATAATAAAAGAAAAGGTTGATATGTTGGACTTCATCAAAAGCTTTAAATGTCTTCTCTTCAGGAGACACCATTAAAATATAAAGCAACCTGTGTACTAGGAAAAAAAATATATGTAGTGCAAATATCTGATGCAGGACTTGTGTCCAGAGGATATGAAGAACTCTTACAACTCAGTAAGAAACAATAACCCAATTAAAAACAAGTGACTTGAACTGATACTCTACCAAAGAAGACATGCAGATGGCTGATAAGCACCTGAAAAGACACTTAACATCATTAGTCACAAAGCAATGCAAATTAAAACCACGGAAGCTACCACTGCACACCTACCAGAATAGTTAAAATTAAAAAGACTGAAAATAGCAAGTTTTACCAAGGATGTAGAGCGACTAAAAGTCTCACACGTAGCCGGTAGGAATGGAAAATGGTGCAATCGCTTTGGGAAGCAGTTTGGCGGTTTCTTATAAAGTTAAATATACACTCACCATATGACCCAGCAATTCTAGGTATTGACCCAAGAGCAATGAAAACATATCCATGCAAGTTTTTGCCCTCCAATGTTTTATTAATGTTTATTCAACTTGACTCGTAAGAGTCTCAACTTTGGGAAACAACCCAAACGGCCACCAGCTGGTGAATTAATAAACGTGTTGTGGCTCGTCCTTAACACGGATGACTCAGAAATAAAAGGACATGAACTGCTGATACGGGCAACAACGTGACAGAGTCTCCAAAAAAGTTATGCTGAAGAAAAGACAGCAGACGCAACGCGTACGTACTCTAACGATTCTATTTATGTGACATCCTAGAAAAGGCAAATATAATCTATGGTGACCTACAGCCCCTATTTTTTCTTCTCTACTGGATCTTTCCTGTTAGAATAAAACACGTTCTTTCTCTCACTCTCCACCCTCATCATTAAAAAGCACATCAGTTGTTGCCTAGAGCCGGGCGTGAGATAAATTTACTGCAAAGAAAGGGGAAAGGGAGCTTTCTGACATGAGACCATGTTTCCCCGAAAATAAGACCGGGTCATATATTAATTTTTGCTCCAACAATCTACATTTCTTCATTTATTCATGTACAAAAATCTACATTTCTTCAAATAGTCATGTCTGGCTGATGATCTTAACTGGGGCTTATGTTTGGGGTAGGGCTTTTAATGTCGAGCATCCTGAAAAATCATGCTAGGGCTTATTTTCTGGTTAGGTCTTATTTTGGGGGAAATATGGTAGAAAGGGCATCTTCATTGTGTTAGTAGTTCCATGTGAATACACTTGTCAAAGCCATCACCGTGCACACTGAACGCGGGTGTTTGAGCTGGATATAAATTGTGTAGAATTGTGCATATAAAGTTAAATGGTGTAGAGAAAAACAAAGCGAGGCAGAAGGATGGGGATGCATGGGAAAGTGGTGTTGCTGTCGTTTTTCAACAGGCAGAAGCAGGGAGGCCGGTTAGCGGGCTGTTGCAATAATGCAGGCGACGCCAATGGCTTAGTTAGACCACGGCGGCCGCACTGCCATGGTGAGGAGTGGTCAGATCCTGGAGGCAGAGCCAACAGGGTTTGCCCGTCAGTGGTATTTGGGGTGTGAGTAAAAGAGGGGAGGGAAGCATGGGTCCAGGATGCCAGACGTGAGCAGCTGTGGGGATAGCACTGAGATGGGGAAAATCTTGGTGGAGAGAGGATTTCAGGGGAAGACCTTGAACTCATCTGGGGACGTGGTCCAGCTTGAGTTGTGTGTTACACATTAGAGAGATTGAGTGGGCAGAAATAAACCTAGAGTTCCGGGGAGAACTCCAGACTGGAAATATAAGTGTAGAGGTCATTGGCATGTAAATGGGTTTTAAAGCCTGGATGAGCTCACCAAGAGCATAGAAGAAAAAGAGGTGTTCCAAGGGCTGAGCCTGTAGCACTTCAGTGTCAGGAAGCCAAGGGGATGACGAGGGATCAGCAGAGACACCCAGAGGCCATGGGTAAGGGGGTGTGTTTTTAAAGAGGGAGTGAACAGCTGTGCTAAATGCTGCTGATAGAGCAAGTAAACCGAGGACCGAGCGCTGACCGAGGGTTTAGCAACGCGATGGTGAATGGGTAACCTTGACAAGAGCAGTTCGGGTGGACCGAGGGGGCAAAGCCTCATGCGAGAGGGTCAAACCGGAAGTATGAGAAAAGTAACCGGAGACAGCAACACAGAAAACTTTTTAAGGACTTTTGTTAAAATGGGCGAAACGAAATGGCTCAGAGCCATAGGGAGAAGGCGGGATGAGTAAGGGACTGGGGAGAGGACAGACAAGTGTGATGCCGGTGGGAGTGACCCAGTAGAGAGGAGAAGTTGACGATGCAGGGGAGAGAAGGATAGCTGCTGGGACAAGCCCCTGAGGCAGCCAGAGGGGATGGGAGCGAGCAGCAGGCCGACCACAGGGAAAGGAATGACATGCGTGTCGTGATTCTCTGGGTGCCCCAGTGCCGCCTGGTTCCACACCTTTCAGATGTGGGCCGCGTGCAGATAAGGAAAAGCCTCCCCTGCACAGCTGAGCATCTGTGGACCACCTTTGCTCTGACCTGTCACCTCCCTGTGACCCTGACCCTCATGCCACAAACCCTCCTGGCGAGTTTCTGACCGTTGCAAACCCTCTCTTCCAATTTATGGGATGTGACTTTTCCTTAAAAATGCATTTCTTTTTCTCCTAATTTTGACATTTTCCCATTTGATGAAGTCTTCTCACAAATCCTTTCCGGCAGGATGAAACCGAGTGAGCTTATTTTAGCCCTCCCTGATGTTTGTCCTGTGGCATGTTCACTTACGCCAGCCCAGCTGAGGCATGAGGCATGGTGGTGACTAGTGGCTGTGGAGCTGGGAGGCCGTGCCCCTAATCCAGGGAGCAGTCCTGTGGAGTCCACAAAAACCACAGAGTTAAAAAAAAATATTTTGTAAACAAAGCCACTAAGAAAACAAGGGTTACGTAAAGCCTCTAATGGGGCTGGTTATCATCCGAGACGGAGTAAAAGAATTTGGAGCCCAAAAGCCCAAGGTATGTAGTGGTGTAGGATGAAGCCCTGATACCTGGGCCTAATCACCTCAACAACTGGGCTTTTTTGTGCCTTGACGGCCAGGAGCATAAATATTTTGAAGGTCTTTGCCATTTTTATTATTCTAAGAGTGCGTCTCTCGTGTCCACGTGATAGACTGGAAACACATACTACTATCCATAATTACCTTTGTAACTGGTTCCTTTACATGAAAAAAAACAATGGCTTTGCGGATTCATTCAAAACCCATAATGATCTATGGCTTTCTGTGTGTTTGGCACTGTGCTAGCAAGTGGGAATTTTTAAATGAGGAAGGCACACACCCTGCTCTTTTTGTTTGTTTTTAATTGGGGAACAGTGTGTTTTTTTCAGGAGCCATCAGCCCCAAGTCAAGTCATTGTCCTTCAGTCTAGTTGTGGAGGACGCAGCTCAGCTCCAAGTCCAGTCGCCATTTTTCTTTCAATCTAGTTGCAGGGGGCGCAGCCCACCATCCCATGCGGGAGTCGAACCAGCAACCTTGTAGTTCAGAGCACGCGCTCTAACCAACTGAGCACCTGGCCGCCCATGCGCCCTGCTTTTAAGGATCTCACAAACAAGAGAATTGCTCTATCACGTGGTAAGTACAGTGGAAGTGATTGCATAGGTTATTGGAAGAGCACAAAAGAGGAACCTTAACTCATCAGGGGATCTGTGGAGGAGGGGAGGCTATTCGACGTTTCATGGAGAATGGGCACACCAGGAACCAGGCAGATGACAAGCAGACGAATGGGGACCAAAGCTGCTCAACATGGCTGCACCCCAGAGTAGGAAACAGGCTTGAAGCTGGAGGGGCCAATAGCGGCCAGCCATGGAGACCACAGGGAGGCACCGCGCAGGTGATGGGCAGCTCCTGGAGTGACGTGGCCAGACCTTCGTTTTAGGTAGATTCCTGGCGAAGGAGTTTTAGGGACAACTGGAAGTTGGATTCTCCCAGAAGCAGATCCTGAATCAAAGAATTGAGTTCTAGTCTTTTTTTTTTTTTTTAAGGAAATGATCCCAGAAGAAACTAGTAAGGAAGTGGAAAAAACAGGAAAAGGAACGGTAAGAAAAGCCAAGCAAGAAGTGGTCTCAAGGCTGATCCTGGTCGACTACACTTCAGTTTGCCCCCCTTAAGGCAAACTCCCGCCCCAGGCAGCTGCCATCCACCGACCACCTGGGGAAATAAATGCTGTGGAGCAGCTCCTGTTTTCCCTGTGTGCCAGGCAAGTCCATGACCAAAGGGCCGTCCCCTCTCACTTACAGGTTCCAGCCAAGCCTGCAGGCGCTGAGAGATGGACCCGCAGAGCTGCGAGAGGGGGAGAAAGCAGTTGGATCAGGGCACCAACAGCTCCCACGGGGGGACCAATCGGAATAAAGTGGGACTGTTTTGTGTTTGTTTGTTTTTACTGGTTTTTAAAAATGAGTAATATGTTCAATAGATAACTCTAACCCCTGCCCTGCTCCTAGATTTCACCCCACCCCTGCCTGCCATCTTGCTTCTAAATGAGTGGCGACATCGTTGCCTTCCTTGAGCTGACTGAAGGGTAAGGGCCAAGGTGGTAATCAGGGATGAGGCGAGGACAACCGGAGTCCACATTCACTGGGAAGGAACAGCAGTGCTGCTTTTGAAATGGAGGCAGACGTCCCCAGCAGCAGTATTTCTGAGTGAAAGAGGCAGAGCTGAATCAGTGGTAGTGATGAAGTCACAGAAGGTACCCTGGTTTCTAGCCTGCGTGTCGGGGTGGATGGAAATATCATTAAAGGAGACAGAAAAATATAAGAAAAGGAATGAGTCAGGGGTGGGGAGAGGATGATGATGATCTCTTAGTATCTTATTCTTACACATTGGGTGTTTTCGGACTGAGACCCACACCATCTATTTCCACAGAGTTTGCCATCCACGTTAACGTGACTTGACTACATTAATAGAGCTTGCCAATTCCGAGAAACACTTGCCTGTGAGACTGAGGCTGCAAATAGCTTTATTCCTTCAGGAAGTTGCCCGGAGCTCTCTATTTGAACCACAGGCTGCTCATCTAACCCTCATTTGGGTAAATATCCCTTTCTTGGGCAATAGATATTTCATCAGTGACTATTCTTCAAGACTCACTTTGGAACCCCTTCCTTGCTGTGTCCTCCAATCTTACACAATGATGTCATGAAGTTTGCCTAATCCCAGTTAGGCCCCCACAGTGACAGACCCACCCATAACTGGACCCCCCCCCCAATACATCACACTCTGCTGCCCTTGCCCTCCACCCTCTGAGACACCGTTCAGACTCTGGGAGGCTGACAGTCTCTCTCACTGTAAGAAGCAGTAAAGTCCCTCTGTTTTAGTTGGAATCATTTTGAAAAATGCTCTGCTTTACGGACAGGCTATTTTGGTGGTATTTGGGTGAGCCGGATTTGGCAGGATCCAAGATCATGTTTAACGCCCACTAAGTCCTAGCAGAAGTGGACGCTGAGTTTACTTCTAACGCGTTTTCTTTTCTAAAATTTTTTTATTTTTCAATTACAGTTGACACAATGTTCTATTAGTTTCAGGTATACAACACAGTGATTAGACATTTATAAAACCTACGAAGCGATCACCCCAATTAAGTCTAGTACCCATCTGACGCCATACGTATTTATTACAATATTATGACTCTATCCCTGTGCTGTCTTTCCATTCCCATGATTCTTTTGCAACCACCAATTTGTACTTCTTAATCCCTTCCCCTTTTTCACCCAACCCTGCAACCCCCCACCCATCTGGCAACCATCAAAATGTTCTCTGTATCTATGAGCTTGTTTCTGTTTTATTTGCTCATTTTGTCCTTTAGATTTCATATATAAGTGAGATCATATGGCATTTGTCTTTCTCTGTCTGACTTACTCCACTCAGTACAATACCCTCCAGGTCCGTCCATGTTGTTGCAGATGGCAAGATTTCATTCTTTTTTATGGCTGAGTACCACCTCTTTTTTATCCATTCATCCATTGATGGACACCCAGGTTGCTTCCATATCTTGGCTATTGTAAGTAATGCTGCAATGAAGGTATAGATGCATATATCTTTTCAAATTAGTATTCTGGGTATCTTCAGATAAAAACCCAGAGGTGGAATTGCTGGGTTCTTCTTTGTCTCTTGTTATAGCTTTTGTTTTAAAGTCTATTTTTTCTGGTGTAAGTATTGCTACCCTGTCTTTTTTTGTTGGTTGCCATTTTCACGACATATCTTTTTTCTGTCCCTTTACTTTCAGTCTGTGTGTGTTTTTTGGTCTGTAGTGAGTCTCTTGAAGGCAGCATATATGTAGGGGCCTCATTTTCTTACCCATTCAGCCACCTTATGTCTTTTGATTACAGCATTTAACCCATTTACATTTAAAGTAATTGTTGATAGATATATAGTTATTGCCATGTTATTATTCATGGTTTTTGTTTTATTTTTCTTTTTAAAGAAGTCCCTTTAACATTTCTTGTAATGCTGGTTTGGTGGTGATGAACTCCTTTAGCTTTTTCTTGTCTGGGATCACACTTTTTCTATTAGTCGTTCTCCTAACTGTGCACAACTGTAAGCAAATGTTAATTACCTGGGTCACTCTCTCTCCAACCAAATGTTAGGTGTAGACATGTGATACTAACAGGCTTTATTTTTAATTATTTGCCATTTTAAAGGTTTAGAAACCTTTGTAAAGGATTGTAAAGGGTCTGATGATATTTCCAAAGATTTCTCCCTGAAGAGTAAACCTGGGATATTTTGTACTTGGTGTATACTATCATTTGAAGTTATAAAAAATAAAAATTCAGTGAAAGCTCTTCAAGTGTGGACAGATGCATGGGGCTCCTCAGACCAGTCCCATGGGAACATCATGCCTTTTATTTTATCGATAAGGCCTGTATCTCCAAAATAGGGGTGCTCTGGACTGGCCGAGTTGCCACGGATAATAATTACATGCTTTCAGAGCTTCTGCTCTTTAAATCTTGGATAGTCTGGACAGCATCTAGAAAGACAAGGCTTCTTAAATACTGTCAACCCACAGCTGTGCCTGATTAGCTTTTACCATCATATTGGTCCCAAATCATAATCTGAGATAAAAATTAAAATTGAATCTAGATCAATGGCTCTCAACAGGAGTTGGGGGGGGCAATGTTGCCCCTCAAGCGACATCTGGCAATATTGGAGGTACTGTGGGGGTCACATCAGGGAGGGGTGCAGAGTGCTGCGAGCACCCAGTGGGCAGAAGAGGTGCTGTTCAGCTCTGTGCACTGGGCAGGAAGTCTCCCTCATCAAATAATTGGCCCAAAATGTAAAAGAAAATATAATAGCAAGGTTATAAAATCCTGATGTAGGCAGGTTTGTTGCAGCTGGGAAATAGCGCAGGCATCTCCAAGAGCTCTCGTGACCGGATCTTTGCTCCTACAGCCCCTCATCCTATCGGTGCCTCCTTGTTCATCCCGCCCCATCTCAACTGCCGCCTCCTCAGGCACAACCCCTCCCTCCTCTGTGTCCCTGCTGCACTGCGGTGTAGCCATTGTGACATTGCCTCACTTTGCCTGGTGTCAGTGTCTTTTGGGAACTTGTCTTTTATACCCTTACATGATAGGAAGTCACACAAGGGCCTCTGAGCTCGACATTCCACAATATTCTCTCCTTGTGTGTGTGTGTGTGTGTGTGTGTGTGTGTGTGTGTGTGTGTGTGTGT